CCTAGGGATTGAAGTACCGTACTAGTATGACGATGCCTCTCAACCTCCACCTATTATAGGCTTGCAGGGTCTGTCTTAAACGCCCCAGCAACGAAGCTGTAACCGAATGAAAAGTGTAGGACTTGGCTCTCGAAATCGGAAGCTAATGACATCATACGAAGGGTTTGGGGTTTTCGGGTTGTTCAGGGTTAAGGTCTAAACTCTACAACCCAAACACACCACATGGGATGCCTACCATTCAGACAACAAGGACACGCTAGACCAACTCTAAGCCCACAAACGCCAAAGTGAACCCCAACAAATCAACTAGGAGGTGCTGTTTAAAGCCTTTGAAAATATTAGTAGGCAAGATCCTGTTAAGCCCAATACTAGCAAATACAGAAAGGTCCCAAAGGCCCCCCACCCCAACACACATCCTTCTCAGTCATCTTTCGGTTCGGTTTGCCGGCCTCCAGTCGAGGGCGTTTCGGGGCTTTGGATCTGGGGGCATACAGACTTCGAAAGAATTGGGTATTAATGCGATGGCATGAGTGCCAGGATCTTCCGCATAGTGTTTTAGCATCGCAGTCGTTCATCCAAGCTGCTACAGTCCGCAACCCCACGGAAAGGTGTCGCGCAATCATCGGCCGGCTTTCGGACCCAGGTTTTACAATTTGGGGGTTCCGAAAATAGGGGACCCTAATATAGTACCCTAGATGGCAGGATCCTTACTATAATACCCCCAGATAAGGTAGCCCTAGTTTTCGGAAACTCCCATTTCTAGAGAGGGGGAGGTTTGAGGGTTAAGGACACGGCCCTGGCACAGTGCTAAACATGCAACCCAACGTCGACTATACCAGACCAAAATACTCATGCATCAATACGGTGCATCTTGTGGACCTAAACCCTACACCCCTCCCTATAATCAATACAAAGTACCTAATTATACGGGATCCCATGACAGGCCGAAGCACACTCTAAGTGTACTTTCGGATATAAAGAGCCTGTGGGAGAATCCCCTGCATGCATTCTGCCTGCTTCTTGGCCAGCGTGACTGCTTTCCTTTGCGCACACGAAGAGGAGGGGCCCTCTGTTGCTTCAAATGCTCGGTCAGTATGTACATCGATACGAGTAGTTCTCTGAATAAAATGAGGGTTCTGTTTATAAGGGTGCCGTACTAATTGGGGGACCTGAAACAAAACCTCAATTTAGAGAACCACCCATATACTTCACGTAGAGATCGTAAGAAGCAGTAGTAGTGTCTGTACTTTTCTCCCCTTGTAGTCCCTACATGAAATATGACTAACATACAACCAAAGCCCCGCTCCAAATATTGCGCACTAACACATCAGAAGTCGTTTGGGCTCCTGGATTGCAGATCTAAATGTTGCGGTTTGTGGTCAACATGGCTAGGGCTTAGGCTTGACGGCTTGTGGATAGCCAGCCGATTATCCATAAGTCCAAAGCCTTATGCCAAGAGACACCACCCTAGACCCTAAACCCCTAAACCCTGAACCCTAAACCCCTAAACCCCTAAACCCTAAACCCCTAAACCCTAAACCCCTAAACCCTAAACCCCTAAACCCTAAACCCCTAAACCCTAAACCCCTAAACCCCTAAACTCCTAGAAGAAGAGCCCGAATGTGCAAACGGCAGCCCTGAACCCAAGCGAACGCCGGCCTGGCCTGTGCCGCTGGACGAGTTTAACCCGAAAGAATGTCGAGACTCCATATCCAAACCCGGCCCAACTCCCAAACCATAGACCCTAAACCCTACACCCTAAACCCTAACCACAGACCCTAAATCCTTCCAGCGAATTTCTTGACTTAAGAACTTCGGGCCAGGAAGTGCATGGATGACTATTCCACGGCTTACCTCTCAACCCCTCAACCCCTCAACTCGAAAACCCTAAACCCGTTTAGAACGCTTATGGATCCCTCTAAAGGAACTCCTGCCCAAGCCAAGAGCAGTTGAGATTCGAGTTGCTTTCTGAGATGGAGCCCTTGTGCCTGCTCCCCCGGGCGTTTGGTTGAGGGGTCATAGGGTTTGGGGCTTAGAGTTTAGAGTTTAGGATTTAGAGTTCAGGGATTAGAGTTAGGGTTTAGGGTGTAGAGTTTAGGGTTTAGGGCTTGGGGTTTGGCATTTGGGGGTTTACGGGCTTCTGGGTTTGGGGTTGAGGGCTTATCGGTGTGGGGCCTGGCTGTGAGGTGCGGCAATTGGGGTTCGAATCTAGGACCTATGATTTGGAACTTGCGGGATTAGAGGACGTAGAAAACACGGTGAATAACACGAGGCAACTAGACTTACAACTATACTACTCATCAAACCAAACATTCTAATTAAAGCCTGAACCTTAACTTGTACCCCTACTTACGAACAGCCATGAAACCTTCGCCTCCTTATTCACTTAGTGGGACCCAATATCAAGCATAGCCTGAGAGTCTGCGTTCAGTAAGGGATTAGTGATCTGATTTTGAAATGCCCAACAGATGTCCGACAATGACTCTTTGCCAGGGTCTTATGCAGTGCTGCAGTGAAACACTCCTTTCCCAAGCCTGCGGACTTTTGAAAGGGTGCGCTTAAGGGTAGTATAGGTTTCTTTCTTGAGGTCCCTTTTGCTGGCTGGTATTGGTGGTATGGGGTTCTAAATTCCTACCACACGGCCGTGAATTTGAGAAGTCCACACCCCAGTTGGGAGAACCGACAGAATCTTAAGGATCGATACGGAGGATCCTTACACAAACCACGGTAGTAATTCCGAGCATGGAAAACCTACTTTGTTTGATGCAGGTTCTTGCGACATTTTAAAGGGTGCCGCCAAGTTTCGCCACCGAACCGGCTGCATCGCCAAGAGACGAAGGCAACGGGAGCTCCATGACCTAACTATCTTGAGCGGATGGGTTCCAAACCTGAGGGGTCCATGTATCAAAATAGTACATACTTTTGGGTCTAATGTACCTATATAGGGAGTACTTCAAGGCCAAAGTCTATACTATTTGGGCACGTAGACTCTCAGGGTAATTTGACTTCCCATGATGAGCTTATGCGGGTTTCACAGGCTTTATACGGGCTTTAAATGGTATGATGGACCTTAAACTTCTCTAAGTTGTGACAATCTGGAAAGAATCTGTCACTTGCTGTCTATCACAGTAACTTAGACTCAGGACTCTGTCGACTCCCGCCCAACCAAGACACATCTAAAGCCGTCACTCACAGCAGCTTAAACTTGGTTCCTTCACAAGTGCCTGGCTGTTCAATCTGTTAATTAAGGGAGCCAAGACTTAACCTGGTGGGACTATATGAGCGTAGTGCACGCAGAGCTAGGCTTGCTGTGGGATTCTTCGCTTGGATTTATCATATGACCTGGCTTATGAGGGTTCAGGGCTCTCTGCGGGCTCAGCTCCACGATGTCGATGTACCAATCAGCAAGAAAGGGTTACCTAGAGGGTCCATGTATACTACCATTATGGAATTAGGCCCCCAGAGCCATAATAGGGATGGTCTTTGGGGGCCTAATTCCATAATGGTAGTATATATGGACCCTCTGGGTTACAAGGAACAACCAGGAAGAGCATCCTTTCTCTTCTAAAGAGGGACCCTTAATAAGGACCCCTAGGTATATACCCTTAATATAGCCATTATATACCCACTATTATAGCCCATTATGGGGTAGGGTTTTCGTTTTCATTTTTATCGGCCGTAAAACTTCCGCATAGGGTCCTAGGCACCTATGCCTACATTTGGGATGCGCCCGGTAATTCCTATGATAGAAACCCTGTAGTCTACTATAGGGGTACTATACATAGGTACTTCGGACTCTCTGGGGTGTTGTCATGTTGGCAGCTATGGACCCGGTGTGCATACATCGTTCATTTAGCTTGGGGCTTAAGGGCTTAGGTTCAAGGCTTGAACCCTCGACTGGCCCTAAACCCAACAGTACAAACCACCCAAAACCCTAAAACCCTAAACCCTAAACCCTAAAACCCTAAACCTAAACCCTAAACCCTAAAATACCCTTAACCCCAAAGTCAAAGCCTGATACAAGGACCTGCCCAGTCGGAACAGGCTTTCTATAAGGTTCTTCAAGGGGTTCAGCAGGGTTCAACAGATTGAAGAGGCACGAGCCGCAAAAGCAGACCAATATTGGGGGATCATACAGTATGGCTCTATAGAAACTATAGAGGATACCCTAAACCCTAAAACCCTAAAACCCTAAAACCCAAAACCCTAAACCCTAAAACCCTAAACCCTAAAACCCTAAAACCCTAAACCGTGAGGACATCATTACCAAGTAGTCAGACTTCTATATCAAGCCTGCAGGGCCTCCAACCAACAGCAGGCCTCGTTAGAGATACCATGGCACTACTGTTGATTATACAAATCCCGAGGGCCCTAGGGTTCCTTTAAAGGGATCTATAAGGGTGCCTTTAAGGGGCTCCTCTAGGGGATCTATAGGGGTTTAGGGTTTAGGGTTGATGATACAAATCCTGCACTACCTTAAGGACCCCAAACTATGGAAATTATGGCATATTCCTTGTTATGGGTAATGCAGGATTTATATCATCAACCGTAGGTACCCTTTGGCAAGATCAACTTTGCAGCCCCTATAGGAAGAACCATAACAACGACACCCAGCAAGCCAAGGTCCTAGCTAAGCGACCAAACAGAAGACTCCTCAGAGCCGGAATAGCTAACCACCCACTGAGAAGTCTCTGCGAGCTCTTACAAAGCCCCGTCCACACAAACTCCAAATATAGGAGCCACTAGAAGAAGAAGACAGGCTCCCATATTATATGTCTGATATGACCTGTAACATCCTATTCTAACTGCCTGCACATTTCCCGAAGAGTCTCTCAGCCTTCACTTTCGAGAGCTTTACAGTTGTCTCTTCACACTGCTGTGGAGCGAATCAGCGCGTGTACAACACTCCAGGGGGGAGCCTGTACAGGACCTGTACACATACACGCACATAGCACCCGCGGAAATGCGCATGCTCGCAAAACTTCTGGAAACCATGTAAATCAAGGTCCCCAGGTGGTCAAAATTCGGCCGCATGGGCGTTGTTGGCGGGGTTCAACGCTGGAAGTGCCGCCGGTCGTCCTGACCCATTTACTGAATGAGTTCAAGGCCAGCAGCCGCAGCACCTTCACCACCAGCACCACCGCAAGGATGCAGGTGGGCAGTGGCATTGTGTCCAAGAGCCCTTGCTCACTGAACTGCCACAGCTCCACGCAGAATCGGCTCAGGTAGACGGCAAGTCCCAAGGAGGACACCACAAGGCAGAGTCGCTTCCTGTGGACGAGATCCGCTACCAAGTCTGGGCACACGGAGTTGCTGGTGGAAGCCTCGCTCACGCAGCGGCCCAAATGCATCACCAGCGCCGCGTCGCAGAGCCAGATGCAAACCACCCAGACCCCCAGCACCGGCAGGAGAGTCAGAGCCCCGGCTGAGTCGGGGTCACAAACCATGAGCGAGACAGTGAGACCGATCCGCACGGCGAATGCTACTGCAAGCAACACATCCACGATCGCAAGGATGCGGAACAAAGCAGAATAGTCTTCGAGCGTCTGGTCCGCGGTCTGGGTGGCGAAGCTGAGCTCGAGGTATCGGCGGCACATTGCGTCACTCGCACGATGATGCCCAAGACCTGGGAAAATCAGCAACTGCTTGGGCCAGAAAGTGCCCCCCCAAATCAAGTCATCGGCATTTGCCTTTGGCAGGGGCTTAGACGGACAAATGCACCCTTCATCCCTTCATTCCTCAAACCACGCTCGGCCTCCCCAATTCTACTCCCTAAACGCCCACGACTCTAAAGCCAAAAGGCCCGAACCTTTGCACCGGCTTGCTATAGGAGCCCTGCTACCCGGCTGATGCCTGGTCTTCGGCATGCTCCACACCGGCCAGCGGAAGGCTTATCTTTGTAGCACAAAACACCCCAAGCCCTAGTCACTCTCCTATCACCTAGGCTGCGAATTCAGGGGAGAAGGAGGGACCCTTAATGGGGACCCCAACCCCATAATGGGCTATAACAGTGGGTATATAATGGCTTTTATTAAGGGTATATACCTATAGGGGTCCTTATTAAGGGTCCCTCTTTTTCCCCTTTCATGAGAAGCGCGGGAAGGGAAGAGATCTAAGGGCCCTGCACCTTCCACGGGGGACAGCGACTTGTCGCACTCCACCTCATCTACCCCAAGGGTCCCAGGGTACCCATATAGAGATACATGAGCCCCAAAGTATCTATAGAGGGACTAAATTAAGGCCAATGTATATACTATATGAATGCATGGACCCTTGGGGCTAACTAGAAGATGCTATTGCTGATTTGTGACGTGAGGTCTTCTTAAGCTGAGGATTTCCACAGTTGAAGACATTTAGGGTCGTCTTCAGGAAAGTATATAGGTGTGCGCTGCGCGCACCTTGGATGAGAGAGGTTGCCGCTAGGGATTCACTGTGAGTTTTAACTTTAGGTATTTAGGGCAGGGCTTTAAGGCTTAGGCTACATAGGGTGTTGAGGGTCTGATGTCTAGGAAAGGATCGAGGGGTGTGAGGACAAATGATGAGTGCTAAGGGGTAACGGATCCATTACTCCACTCATCGGAGTTTCAGGCTCCGATTCTATACGGCTCAGGGATCAGCAGGGATGTGGGAAGAGTGATGACGCAGAGCCTGTTGAACGTGACCCAGAGGCTCCATATAATATATATATATATATATATACATACATACATACATACATACATACATCTCTCTCTCTCTACAAAGAGATATATATACATATATACATATATATATATATACATATATATATATACATATATATATATATATATATATATATATATATTGCGATTGTTGAATTATGAACCCTACCACAGCAATGATGGTCCTTGGGACCTAACTCCTAGTCTGTACGGAGCCTCTTGGTTCAACGATGTACGACGGAAAGGTGCACAGGACCACGCATTCGCGATTGACTGAGCCTGCGAGACAACTGGTCCATCTGACGCAAGCTATCCGGAACAGACAGCACAGAGATGAGGAATGTCCAGGAACCGACTCTAGCAGCTATACGTTCCATGCGTACACCTCGTCCCGTGAAATGTGCAACCCTATATGCCGCTGTTCCAAGTTGAGACACACTGGGTTACGAAGTACGAGGGCTCTTACGGCTGAGGGTTTAGGGCTTCTCGATTTCGGCTCTTCAGACCCTACACATGCTGCTGGCCCATGTCAGTGCTTTGATGTCACATCTTGGCAGGCTCTTCTACAAGACCCGAAACTTCCAAATCTCTAAACCCTGAACTCGAACCCTGCTGCAACCGATGCACTATGACACCACCATGAAGCCCAGATTTCACTAAACCCTCAACCCTAACCATTGGCCAGAATCGGACTCTCCAGGTGATCTTCCACAGCACTACTGTCGCCATCGTGCCCAGCATCGCCCCAGGTCACAACCGATTCCTAGTTCATAAACGCCTAACCCCCTGATCCGAAGTTCTGAAATTCAAAACATCGAAACGCTGGTTCCAAAACTCCGAGCAAAAAACAATGCCACTCGGCCCAGATTCGTAAACTCCTATAACACTCTACCCATAAACCTCATCACCTAAACCCGAAGTTCGAAGCCCTTGAGCTCGGAAAAAAAGGTTAAACTTGCCTCCTCGAAGCCCATCCGCAAGAAGAACTTCAACAGCTCCTGAGGGGGATGTTCGTGTTTCCAGGCTTGGGCAGGGGGGCGGGCGAAGTCGTCTAAGCGCTTTGTTAAACTTTACAGGTTCTTACGTCAAGGTAAGGAAAGGGTTGTATAGACTTCTGGCTAGTGCTGAATTTGCGGCTTGGATTTCATTGACTTACAAGGTTGAGGATTAGGATTTGAGGGCTTAGCATCTGAGACTTCAGTGTTGGAACGCGTAGCAGCAGGCAAGGTTCAAGAGTTTCGGGCCACACCAAATGAACGTTGGTTTTGCAGGGCATGCATGTATTCTCTATGTCAAGAAACAGCAGGGCTCCTAGCCAGAAAGTTCGGACAAACAACTCAAACCACGTTGCAACGGTCGAGCGAAACCTCGACACCCCAGATGCTGCAATTCCTGAGCCCTGGGTGCCGCCCTAAGATAGGGACTTTTTTATCAGACTGTGGCTTCGGGGGTCCCTTATTGCATAGCATGAATCGGGAGCACTACACACACTGGACTGACCCCAAACCCCAAACCCTAAGACAACCTGCACTACCCCCCCCCAACAAAAAAACAATAAAAAAAACAACTGTATCGGAGTCCTGCTGCTGTTCCAGCATGCCGATGGAATTGATCGACGGGGGCCGCTTGCGACCTGATTCTAAAAAGAAGCAGGGGTTCAAGAGGTTTAGCTTTCTTACGATATATACATAAACCACACAGTTGGAACCTCCTTATCCTCATGCTCACAAGTATTGTATATGTAGGGTGGCCTAGGGTCGGAGCACTGTCTACATTTCGCACAAACTCTCACTACACCGGAAGACAGAGGACGGTCCAGAAAATCGTAATATTAGAGTCACATGCACCCCGGAGCAATATGCGAATCCATCCTCCAAGCCTTCGGGCCGTAATTCTTCCAAGCCAACTCACTCCTTCAGCCCATCGAGCCCCAGATCATTCATTCTGAATCTCACACCCGCAACTGGTTTAGGGTTTAGGGTTTAGAAGCCCATAAGGAACATTGACAGGGCCAGGTGGTGGCACTTCAGCAGAGTCCCACTGCACTTCAACCGAGGAGCTACGACCGCAAGGTGGTGCCCTAAACCCTAAACGCTTCAGCGTTGAGGGGTGTGCGCATGGTTTCGATGTCCCACCCATTTTCTTCGCTTCCCCCCCGCCCTCCCGGCCCCACCCCCCTCTCCCCTCCCCCCCCCCTCCCGCCCCCCCCACTCCCCCTTCCCTCCCGCCCCTCCTCCGCTCGCTGACAGGTGCGAGCTTTCTGGAGTTTTCGACGACACGGGACTGCAATGTAGCATCTTTATGTGCGTCTCAGGCTTGTTTTAGACGCCCTTTCGTTGGGATAGGCGGAGTAACGTGGTTGAAAAGGCTGTGATGCTTCCCTAATCCAAGACGCCCACGAAATCCACAGCCTCAACGGCCCATACTTAAGGCATCCCGCCGCTTGCGAGAGTCTTGGTATCCAGTGTTTCGGAATGACGACACCAAAATTCGTACTGATACTACCACTACTAATACTACTCACAATCATCCTGCTTCGTGTTGCTATGAACATTACTTTTACTATAAGTGCGATTCCAACTGTTACTTTTTTCCTACAAGAGCTTGCTGCAGATAGTAGCCACTCGCCGCATGCGCGTACAGCCGGGCCGAGGCGGACGACGCGCAGCGTTTCAAATGATATTAGGGATCCTACTATAATTTAAGGTATATTCTTTAATTAAGGGGTTTTGGAAGGTCTGGGTGTGCTTCTCTGCAAGGGTTCTTCAAGGCGAAGCGCTACGACCGTGTACCCTCTTGGGTCGGGTTTGGGATGTAAAGAAGAAAACCGAAAAGCTCCAAACCTCTGACCCCAAACCCGTGCATGAAAACACAAAATCCTTGAACTCTAGACCCTAATCCCAACAACCCTAAACCCTAAGCCCTAAGCCCTTTGAAACCCTGAGCCCTAAGCCGTAAGCTCCTTGAAACCCTAAACCCTAATCCCAACAACCCTGAACTTCAAAATCCAAGAAAACCTCACGACGACCAGCGGCCAAAATCTTGCGGGATCAGGGAATAGTACCTGGGATCACGAGTATCCATCAGAACGAAAGCCAAATAATCAGTGAAAGTACATCAGTCTAACCCTATCGTTCCAAGGACCTCATAGTTGGGGCACTAGACCCCTTAAGGACCCAATAAGAAGGACACCGGAGGCACTGGGTAAGACCAATTGGAAGAGAAATAAATGACATAATCGAACACAGCAAGCCAACTCCGAAACGCTGAACGTAAAACACGGCAAACCCTAAGCCAAGCAACACGGAAAGACACGAACACCAAACACCAAAATCCTCAGACCAGGCAAGCAAGTACCCCAAAAACCAGAAACTCCCTAAAGCTCATTCAGCCCAGAATAAAACTAGTATGCTTATTAAACCTTTGGTTGATATTCTCGTCTTTCTGGTCAACGCAGTGTTTCATTTAATCCCCCTCTCTTGGGTTCATAATATTGTGCGCATGGTGTGCTTGGAGTATACTATTCAGCCATAAAAATACAACCAACAAAACTAAACAAACGCCCTGAACTCCAAACCTGCGACCCTAAAGTAAACCTAACTCTAAACACTCACCCACCCCGCTTTAACAAACAAAAGAGAGAGCCCAGAAACTCCGAGGAAAGCTCGGCGAGGTTGCTTCCCTTTCCTGGCGATTGTCGCAACTTCTCCACAAAGGGGGGCGGTTTAGGGTTCAGAGTTCCTTTAAGACTGCCCATTATCAGGGTTCCTTTTCAGATCTGTAAGGGGTAGGGTCTTAGTTAGCAGCCAGAAAAACAAGAATGGTAATAATGGAAGCCCCAACACAGCCTTCTATGGCTTTGAGGTTGTTGGGTTTCGGGCATGTAGTTCTTTTGCTGATTGAAGTGTGTAGGA